GGTCCAAAAATTCTTGTGCAAACTCAAACCCTAATTTCAGGTCATCAGTGCAAGATGAGGTCTTGAGCTTAGCAAACCCTAATCTTGTCTTGAGTCCAAAGAGTCTTGTGAGAAAAAATCTTGATAATATGAGAGGGCAAATTTTGGGGTACAACACATGGGCTCGCACATGAGGGACGTGTGATTGAAATCTAATGGGCATGATAGAGAGTGCATGATAACAAATATGGGATGGCGTACATCTGATCATTAGACATATTATATTTTTTGTTTTACATATTTTTGTCATTTGCCAACTCTCTTCCTCTCTCTATTCTATCTTCACTAACACAACTCCATTGCAACAAACCATAACATGCCGCCACTTCCACAAACCCTAATCGACGACGGCCCTATCCTTCGATCCCGGCCCCAAACTCTATAAGAAAATCAATAAAATATTCGAGCTAAGTATATTTAAAGAGTACCTCTATCGCGATAAATCTCGACGTCTTTTCTGATTCTTTGGTCCGACGAGGTTCTTGATCTTCTCTCTTTGTTTGACAAGTACAAAGGATGATGGTGACGGTGGAGACGCGGTGGTAGCGATGAATGGTAGCAGTGGAGCAACGATTGGGTTTAAGGTTCCAGATATTGGAACCCTAGGAAGCGATGAACAAGGATGACATCGGCGAGGCTTCGTTCTTCTTCTCTATTATGTTTCTTCTATCGTAAAAACACTCTTAATTTTCTCTGTTCTCCCCTCTTTTCCTCCTTAGTCTTTAGGTTTTATAGTGTTTTAGGAATTAGGTTACTTAGGAAACAACATTAATTGGTCTGTAATTTTGATTAGCATATTAGGAAAGAATGTTATTATGTCTGCGATTCTGTACAAGATTCAAATAGTTTCTTATTTTAGACTGTAGCATTTGATTCTGTATCTGATTATTGATGATTTTTGCATTAAGTTTTGTTATCAATTCTGTTCACACAAATATCTGTTTTGATTCTCTTTTCCATTCCGGATTCACACAATACCTGTTTTTTACTACAACACACGTTACTCTATTTGAATGTGCACAGTAAGTATTTGTTGGTGAGAACACACATTTCAATGGGCCTAGGCTTGTTTTCCTGATTTGCAACAAAAACATTTTTTAATTGAACCGGACCTGGGCTTGTAATGGATTTGGACAAAAAGACTTTCAACATTTCTCTTAACAAAACCCAACATCACCTTTTAATTAAGTCTCAAACCAATGTTTTAATTATAATGAATAATTAGTATAATTAATAATAGTAAAAATAATAGCAATGATAATAATGTCAATAATAATAATAATAATAATAATAATAATAATAATATTATTATTATTATTATTATTATTATTATAATTGAAACAAAACAAATCTCAAACCAAAACAGAATGGGCCATAACTCTCACCACTTGCTATTGGGCCTCCTAAAATGACTAGCTTATGCATTCTCTCAACCTTATCCAAAACCTAAATGGACCTTAGTCAAAAAATAGATTTATTCACACCTTCTTTATTAACGATGCACCTCCCTTCTTCCAACATGAAATGGACTCTCAAAAACCCTAATGGGCCTGACTGATTTGCAACATACCCCCTATTATAAAAATGCACTCTTTCGAATTATGGATGATTTTAATGGGCCTTCAGAAAAAACTTAAAAGACCCCTCTCTTGTACTAATACACCTCATAACTTAGATCTCAAAGGAAAAATGAAAATTTTGAACTTATAACATGATTATAAATTAGAAGCATAATAATGGCATGATTATTTAAATTGCTAGGGCAAATTTTGGGGTATGACAGACAGAAAGATCATTCAGTTATTCCACACCACCTTCATCTAACCTAACTCGTCCCCCTTTCACTTCAAGGGACTCAATTTGCTCTTTTACCTTTGAAATTCTACCCCCTATGTTCTGTGAATGTTGTTGATGCCACCATTTCAAACTCCCTTTAATTAACTTCAATTTTTCCTTCAGCACTTAACCACCCTACCCATCCACCTGGAAAGAACTCCACTGACCCACCACAAAATCCTGATATCCTGGTAAATCTTACCAACACTTCAACATATGTTGAGGCCTCGGGCCCCAATTCTAAATATCAATATTCAACATCAACGAACAAGGATCTAATAATCCTCTAGGAAGCAGGCACTGGGTGCAATTCGGTCAAGTAACACACCACTCTTTCATCACCAGGAACCTATCCAACTGACTCATGACACGACGATCCCCACGGTACCAAGTAAAATGTCTCCCACACAAATGAAAATCCACTAAAGCATTATCATCAATAAACCTATTAAAAGGCGCATCCTCCAATGAACATTCCACCGTCACAATACTCTGCCTTTCCAACTGATGCTTAATAGCATTAAAGTCCCCTACCACAAACCAAGGTCCACCACCTGAATTATTCATGATTACTCCTAAATTGTCCCACAACATTTGACGCCCCACACCATCACATGGCGTATACACATTTGCTATAAAAAAACTCATCCCCACTCTTAATAAACATACCTTGAATGATCCATATATGCTTAATCGAACGGGTAACCCAAACGTCCACCTCCCCCACATCTCAAAGAATCAATATACCACATGATGCCCCAGCTGATGGCCTAAAAGAAAATCCCACCTCATCATTCCCCCAAAGAAACCGACTAACAATGCCATCCACCTCCTCCAATTTAGTCTCCTGAATATAAAAGATCCACGGGTGCTTCTCCATTCTCACCTCTCTACGCTTCTCCCACCCACCCAAACCACAAACATTTAGCGACATAATCTTAATCATTACGCCCAACCCCCTCGACCACCTTCCCTACCCACCTTCCTCCAACTATTTCCCCTTCCCCGTACACCCTAACTCACCACAACCTCCTCATTCCTCCTCCCTCCACCTCCTCTAGAAAACACACTGAACATATTAGTATAATCTCTGCAAACTTAACACCAATCACCTTCCCAATACTCTTAACATCATCCTGCACATCTTTATCTCCTCCATGTAAAGTCTTCCATGTTTCCACTCCTCCTTATTTATCAAAGAATTAGACTCAGCCGATAAAGACTCTCCCTGAAAATTCACCTTCGACAGAGACTTAGAAGTTTTAGACCCCCTACTTTTTCTAGATTTTTTTAGAGCCTTGAACAATTATCTCCTATCAATCCCTGACAACCTCGCCACCCTTTTCAAATCAAGCAAGGAGGCAGAGTATTTATGTCTCTTAACTTTACATGCACTCTTTTGCTCCCCCATAACAGTGAACACCTTACCAACTTCTACATCCTCCACCACCTTCTCTTGTACCACCACTAGAGTCTTTCTTACCATTGGAACACTCGTTCCATCATCCTTTGCCTCTCTAGTTAACTCTTTTTTCGCCAAATCCTCTTTAATCCAGTCACCATGTAATTTTGACACTAGATGATTAACCTTTGGAGAATACTCAGCTTCATTGTGAAGCTATGTATGCGCTGATGGTTCATCATCCTCATATTCCACCAAACAAGCATCCTCCGCCAACCGTAACCCAAATTCCATATCCTTAACCAAATGAATAGAAAATTACCCCCTGTCGACCCACACATTTTCCAATCTATCAATAGCTGCTAAAATTGGAGTAATTATCAGAATACGAGCATAATCCAACTGTAATCTCTCACTAGTACAATCATCCACCTGAAGAATTCTACCACAATCAGATACCAAACATGAAAATAAAGAAGGATTCCATGCATGCAAAAGCACCCTATAACATTTAACCCATGCTCCACTTTCATACTTGATATCTCTATCCTTCAACCAAGCTCGATAATCGTAGAGAAATTCGGAGAAAAAACCCACTATTTCAGTATACACCGCCTCAAACGCCTCCTTAACTGAATGATAAAGAAATACTTTATCTCCCTCAGCAGCATCACTTTAGGATCATTGAAACCAGTATCAACAAGAATCTGTTGCAACATAGGAACACACATGCCATTACAAATCCTACCCACGACACCACTCGACACCAAGTCCACATCATTTTGATTGGATGTATACTACTTTTTCACTGGCTTCCCGACTCTGCCAGAGACCTCCACCTCCTCGTCCTCTCTACCAGTACCCCCTACGACATCGGCAAAAGATAATGGCAATTTGATGTTACCTTTCATGCCTACATCACCAAAAAGAAAACCAACACCTTTCTTACCTCCTTTTCCCTCCTCTTCGACCAGCTTCACCTCACCTTCCTCGAAAACCATCTGCCCTGATTCCTAATTTTTATTACAATCCTAAATCTTATTAATATTACCCTCATCATCACCACCATCCCCATCAAAACTCGAAATTTATCAAATCTCGCCTTACTATCAAACAACCGCCACTCTCCAAAACATACATTATTAAGAGTTTTTTTTAGTTTCAACACATCCTTGACATTCCTACATCGAGCAAAACCACAAGCATCACCCTTAGCATTACGCATCTCCGACACACACATATCAGAAAGAATACCACAAACCTCTAATTCCTTTCTCAACCGAATTTACAAGATTAACGACGACAAACTCGTAATATAAAAAGAAACAAATGAACCAGACTTCTGAAGATTAGAATTGTTGCCAACATTTACTGTATTATCAAAATTACCCGACGATCATCGACTGAGATCTGATAAGGTTATGTCCATGTGTAACCGACTTAAATCCTTTTCCCTTGACACCGTCGTACCATAGACCATTCCCCTCCCCCCTCTTTTGTACTACCCTGGCTGGAATCCCATCCTATATCACTGTTTACTTTCATGACCAACACCGAAAAAAATCAAATTATGTCGTAGTTTCGTTGATGCCCTAACAGAATCAGGTATTAATATTATTATTATTATTATTTATTGACATTTTTAGGATTGGTAGTTCTTATTTAATTAATAATTATTAGTTATTATAAGACATGTTAATGGAATAAATGACTTAATAAAAATATGAGAAAATGGGTGAGAAGGTAATTTATTATTTATTTCATTTATTTAATATTTATTTTTATAAAATTAAAATTTATTTAATATTTATTAATTAGTAATATTTTATTTTTTATTTAATTAGTTTAATACTTTAAATAGATTTTGGCAGAAATTTTTTGTAAAAGAAATTATAGGATTATAATTTAGTATGATACGATAGAAGAATTGGAGTTGGAGACACATTTGAAAAGTTGTCGAATCTATTATAAATATATAAAAACTAAAGTATCAGCAAATTTCACGATAAACTCTCTAATTAAATACTTAATTTATTCTTAATCTAAAGGTAAATCTGACTATTTACATATTATTTGACATTAATTGTCTGCTGTGGCACTCCAAGAATTTTTATTTTTTTTTAATTTCTCTAATTTACTTTAATTACTTGAAGGAAACTGCATTTATAGTGGCATGAGAAATTGAAAAGCCAGTAAATTGTTTTGTTCTTGGAACACAAAACTTACAGTTTACATTGTAAACCCATCCTTTCTCAAGATTCACTCACGATTTATCATCAAACACAACCCATTGAGATTTGGAATTATCGTACCAAATCACAATCTCACGACCCAGAAGTTGAAATGGTGTGGGCAAACTAGGGTTAAGATCTTCATTTAACGAAATTGGGTACCAATGATCTCTCCATAAAAACTTGGAGGAAGAACTCTCATCCTCAAATTCATCATCAATTATGTTCCTTTCAGCTTCTGGAATGGGTTAATTTAGTTCGGTTTTTGTGGGTGGTGCTGCAACGCTTCTAACTGTAAGGGGAAATGGTTTTTCTATTTCTGTTTCTGGGTGTTGTTGATTTTGTCAAAAATGGTGAATTTTTTATGAAGGATGAAAATATAAGGGGTTTTGGTAAAGCTGAGAGTGTGTGTAGAAGGGGGTTTTCTGTTTCTGTTTCTGGGTGTTGTTGATTTTGTCAAAAATGGTGACTTTATTGTTTGAAGTTTTGAGATGTTAACGGTGGCAACTTTATGTAGAGATTGAATTATTCATATGAAATGTAAGACGCAAAAAACAAGAATTATTTGAGTCGTTCAAGTTTCAAATGCTTTTTGTTTTTCATCTTGAGTGTTTTCAGACAAAATGTTTGTCCAACAGTGTCACTGCCAGATAAGTTTTCTTCTGTGTTTTCACAGTTCAATGAATCAATTACTGTAGTTTTTGAGGTAACTATTTTTCTATGCAATCATAATTCACAACCCAATTTCAGGTAATATCTTTGGAAGGCTGGAACCAGAATGCAAGCATACCATTACAGTTACAGAGGCTGCAAAAGTGGGTAATCTTCAAGTACAAATCGTTCCAAGAGAGTATTGCTCTTATTTTGCGGCGAGAAAGTAAAGGTTTATTTTGTGATGGTTTTTCAATCGAGATTTGTCCTCAGATCTTGGTAAATACGTAAATGAATTTACATTTTCCGTGTAAACTAATTTTTATTTTAATTAGAGTGTCTTGATGTTGACAGAAATATATACAATCTTCTGCAGATATTTAAATTTTACTGAAAAAATGTTGGTATCTTTTCAGGTAAGCATGGTTCTTGGTGATAGGGGTCTACCTACGTTTATACAAGTGAAAATACAGTCATGATATTGGTATCACAGTGTGAAGGAACCACCCACCTGTTCCACTCCTTGATGCCTCATTTGCTTAATCTTGATCAGATAAGTGCTTTGGTTTAAATTATTTCTCTGTATTTTCAATGACAACAATTTGATAAAGGCATAATATTTTTTATAACTTTGGTTTCTCCTTATTCATGTATACAGGAAATCATGTTGATCCAATCCAATGTACATTTTTAGGTTTAGAATAATACCGGGTAAGTTGAGTTTTTGCTGCGTAATTTGTTTGTACACAAGGCCACTTGTGATTCTTTATGGTTTGTGGTCTTCTCATTTGAGAGATCAATTTTGCCTTCGTATCGTGCAGAATAATGTAGCAATGATCGAACAACAATCTGTATTGACTATTATTGGGTTTCAGGCCATTTATTAAAAGAAAAATAACAGCGGTGTTTGCTTTAAAAAGACCTTACATGATCATTTAAAGGATTAAATTTCTTAGAAAGCAAGCTCAATATTTATTTTCTTCATTTTTCATCTTATGATGATTGTCCTTTCTCAACTTGGTGTTTGCAAGACTCTACGATGGAAGGAAGCTCTCAGACAAACAGCCAGTATCTCTAGACGGGATCTACATGATATTTAAAGAATCTATTGATGAAGCTTTCCCCTGCCTCAAAAGAAAAGGCAATAGAAACAAGAACTGCAATAAAGTGCTTTAAAACCTTAGCAATGAGGTTTTGGCCCTGTGAATCATTTGTCTTTTTTGTTTAAACCTATACAATTATTAATTTACTGCTTCCTACAGAATACAGGTTACTCAGACACTGCAAGATCATTAGATATTGTCTTATGAATGGGAAAAGATGGAAAATACTGTTAATTGTTAGTTGTGAAGAGGGCCATCACGACATGATTCGAACAACTGAACTGGTGAGATAATTGTGATTAAAATATTCATTCTGAATTACATTAGTAGAATTGAATATTTTGAAATTGTATATGATCATTTTATGACCAATTTTCATTAAAATTTGAAATTGGCAAAGTAACATGATTCTTTTGGTGAATTCTGCAGAACTGGTGTGCGGATATAATAGCACATATGTTCCATACTCCTATTGATGAACAGGAAACTACAGTAGGTGTTGGACAATTCATAATCAGACTTTGACATATAAAGTACAGTTTTGCCTATTGTTTTGTTGCCTTTTACTTCAGGATCTTTTAAGAGAACTTGAGCTATTAATAACACAACATTGGTGCAATTCTGATCTTAGTAATTATAGAGATTATCATAGGTGTCATAGGTTTGTGAAATTAAAAATATAAGCTTATATATGAAAATAGTTAGATTCATGTGCCTTTTATTTCATACTGTTGAACACTCAAATGGCATTATAATTAAATACACAATTTTTGGTCAGTTCAGCAGGAAGATGCATATGTAAAAATTTAAATAAAAAAAGTCCAACAATATGAGATATCATTTTAACTGTTCATACTCCATTATAGTTATTAATTGGTGTGATACAAGTGGTTGTTTAGGCAGAAGAAAAAGAAGATCAAGCGTTTGGCTTCTTAATATTTGAAGGAGACCTATTTTTGAATTGTACTCAGCACTAGAATCTTAAGAAGAATCTAGATAAATAGCTGCTTTTATGAAAATGATAACACGACTGTTTTCATTTTAATCCTTAGCATTTTAAGTCCTAATAGAACAACAGGTACTAAGGCAATGACCATTTTTGGTATTCTCATATTTGTTTCCTTGCTCTCTCGGCTGGAAATTATGGATAGGATATAATTTTTTTTGTATGTACTTAAATTGTCTATTGTAGGCAATTTCAGACAAGGGAACAATTAAAGTTGACTAACTAAAAAATAAGTGGATGGGGATCAAATATGTTCTGGACTGGGCCTGCCCTTGGCCCAAATCACAAGTAAGGTCCAATCCAAACCGTGCCTCGAGCTATGCTGGGAACCATATCCCCCGAGCATACCCAGTCACGGGCTGTAAAACTAATACGGCTGTGCCCGCCGCGGCGAGAGGCATCCCCGACCAGGGACATCCCAACTCGAGCCTTGCTCGAGCATCCTCCCCGTAGAGCAGACTCTCGGTCCCTCCAGATGCTTCAGAGTCTTTAGAGCTCCGGGAAGATCGCGTTTTCGTTTTTCCTTATTCTTCGCAGAGCATCATCCAGGAAGGGGACCACGTGCAGGTCCCCACTACTCACGTAGAACCTGGCAGTCCCTTTGTTGGGCCAATTTTGGTAGGCCCAATAAAGGGACCTTGGCCCAGTGTTGGGGGCTATAAATACCCTCTATTCCAAGAGGGTCAGGTATTCATTCTTTACACACCTACATACAATTCACCTGCTCATTTCGTCGCTTACTTTATCATCGGAGTGTCTTGCAGTTATCCCCCTCCCCCTATCTCTCAGATCCAGTTCGAACCATCTGTGGCGGTCCAACTCTGATCAGGTAAGATCAGTGGCACCGTCTGTGGGAAACTAAGCTTCTCCGTCTTACAAATTCACGAAGAAAAAAGATAAAACCATCCTCGACCTCCACGCATGACCAGATTCAGGACAACCAGAACGTTCGCGTCGTCGATGCTAACAACAACCTCGCCGACAAAAACGGTGGCCCTGACAACGCCGGCAACCCCGACCATAATAAACTCCCCGGGGGCGCCATCCCCGGGGCCTCTAACTACCGGGATGGAGCCACGACTTCGTCTTTATCAGTCCCTCTTCGACTCGAATAAGATAATCTGGTTCCCCCGAACCATCTAGCCGCTCAATTCCATGAAGTTCATGTCCCCGCCGGGGCACCCACGACCAGGGCACTGTTCGCGGTAATCAACCAGACCAACTACCTCATCTTTGCCCAAGGGGATAGACTAAGAGCACTAGAGGAGGACCGAAGGCTCCCGAGGAGACACGAGAGGCCTCAATCCCCACCTCCTCGAAGAATGGAGGAACGTCCCCGATCTACCCCACGGAGACAAGACCGGGGCATCTCTCGAAGCCCGTCACCCCAACCACAAGGGCGACGACCCGCCTTGGAGAGAGAGCCAATCATCAAAGCCGGAAGGCGCGGCCTCGACCCTTCACAACAAGAACGAAGGCATCCCGGAGACAGAAATAGAGGAACATGTCAACGGACACATCGCTCGAGGAACGTCCAGCACGACCAGGGCCATCGTGACCGACAATACATCAGGTCCCCGTCCCTCTCCCCAGAGCGAAGTGATGAGGACGACCCCTGCGGTCCCCTATCACAAGCTATCATGGAGGCGCCCGTTTCCCGGGCATGGAGAAGCCTCCACACCTGAAAGAATATGATAAAGTCGTTGACCCGGTCGATCACATAGACGGGTTCGAAGCTATGCTGCACTACCATAACGTCGGGGGACCAATCAAATGCCGGTTGTTCCCCACGACCCTCAGGAAAGCGGCCATGGATTGGTACAAGGGTCTCGCCCCGGGGTCAATCACCTCGTGGCGAAACTTGAAAAACCAATTCATAAGCTCGTTCATTGCGTCGCGGCGACATCCAAAGACCGAAGCAGCGCTCGAGGCCATCGTCCAGAGGCAGGATGAGACCTTGAGAGAATTCATCAACCGCTTCAACCGCGAAGCCATCCAGGTCCCCTGCACGGACCACGTGAAGAGATACCTGCTGGAGAGGGGCCTCCTCCTCGGCACAGAATTCAGGAGAGCAGTGGGCATCGAACCACCCCGAACGTTCGATGCCCTCCCCGAGAAAGCCAGGGCCTACATGGACTACGAGGAAAGGGAAGAGGCCAACAGAGCCCGTGACCCCAGGAATCGCAGATCCAGCAGCAACCCGTGCCAAGAAGCAATCCTTCCTCGACAAACTGGGGAAAAAAGGAAAGACGACAAACCCCGGGACATCCGAGAACAGAGGGGGCCTTCGAGGCGTTTCACAGAGTACACTCCGCTCACAGCTTCTCGCGAGCGCATCTTGGCGGAGTGTGCCAGTACAGATTTCAAAGATGGCGGCGGCAAGCGCCCCTGACCAGCTCCTGCCAAGCCCGGGGTGGACAGGAGCAAATACTGTCAGTACCATAGGAGCCATGGCCATCTGACTAAAGACTGCGTCCACCTTAAGGATGCTATCGAGACCCTCGTAAAAGGGGAGAGACTCGCCCGGTACCGGCGAAACGACGCTCCTCGTCGCGACGCCCGTGAGACAAGAGAAACAGAAGAGGATGCCCGACCATCTAACGAGTCGCTCCCCATCCAAACCGCCTTCTCCGTCACCAGACCCGAGGACTTCTACGTCCCCGAACACATACAAGAACCACTGTCGATGCACAGCAGGTGGGAACACTTTCCCTCCGCCAAGGTCATCAATGGCGGAGGGTTCAACGACCTGACCATAAATTCAGCCAAGAGGAAGCTGGACGAATTGGTCGACACGGCACCTCCTCAGACGGTAACCTTTAAAAAGGTAAAGGGTAGGTCGGAACCTATCACCTTTTATCTCGAAGAGCTCCCCGGAGGGGCCCCCAACACGGTCATTCCTCTGCTGATAAGAGCGAGAATGGCCAACTTTGACGTATATTACGTCCTCGTCGATGAAGGGAGTTTCGTCGATGTAATGTATAGCCAACTATTCTGAACCCTGCAGCTCGATGACTCACACCTCTTACCTTACGTGGGGTCGGACCTGCAGGGCTTTAACGGCTCGACTTCCAAACCTTGGGGATACGTCGAGCTCATGGTCACGTTCGGCGAAGATACGGAAACAAGGCAAGTCAAGGTGCGCTTCCTCGTCATTGATTGCCCTTCCCTCTACAACTGCATTCTGGGAAGGCCGACGCTGGCAGAGATAACCGCAGTACCCTCTATCGTCCACCTGAAGATGAAGTTTTACACCAAGAGGGCACGGGTCGCCACCATCCAAGGCGACCTAGCAGCTGCCCGAAGGTGTTTTAATGCAGCATCCAAGGGACGCGATACGGTCGACACCAATACCAGGCCTGCCAAGAGAGCTGCAACGACGCGACCAGAACTTCAGAGGACAAAGCCCGTCAAGGTAGAAGAGCAGAAAGCCCCTCCAGAGGTCGACTCAATATCCCTGGACACCCGCTTCGACCAGGATGAGCCTCCTAGCGGCGAGCAAGTCCCCCTCCGATCAATTTCGGACGGGGACTTCGAACTCGTCCCTCTCGGCGAGGACATAAGCAAAGGAGTGAAGATCGGCATCGGCCTCTCTGACTTGGCAAGGAAGCAAATCAAAGCCTGCTTGCGCGAGAATGTGGACCTATTCGCGTGGAGCGCCGCAGAAATGCTCGGACTTGACCCCGAGGTCGCCTATCACCGTCTCGCCATAGATCCAGCCGCTAGGGCAGTAGTACAAAGTAGACGTAGGCAATCTCCGGAGAAAATGGAGGCTGCTGAAAAAGTTGTAAAAGACCTCCTAAAGGCAAATTTTATCTCCGAAGCCCGGTATTCAACCTGGCTGTCAAATGTTGTACTTGTCAAGAAAAATAATGGAAAGTGGCGAATTTGTGTTGATTATACTGATCTCAATCGGGCATGCCTGAAAGATGCTTTTCCTTTACCCAACATAGATATGTTGGTCGAAAACTCGGTCAGTTATAAAATACTATTGTTTATGGATGCCTATTCAGGCTATAACCAAATCCCAATGGCCGTAAGCGACAAGCATTGCACTGCTTTCATGACCAGCTCGGGCAACTATTACTACAATGTAATTCCCTTTGGTCTAAAAAATGCAGGAGCAACATACCAACGAATGATGAACAAAGTATTCCACAACCAAATCGGGGACATGCTCGAGGTTTATATGGACGACATGATCGTCAAATCCCGAGCAGACACCGACCATGCCGCTCACCTCAAAGAAGTCTTTGCTCAAGCAAGGCAATGCAAGATGAGATTTAACCCCGAGAAGTGCACATTCGGGGTCAAGGCGGGAAAATTTCTCGGCTTCTACCTGACAGAACGAGGAATCGAAGCCAACCCCGACAAATGTCGAGCTTTCTCCGACCTCCCCACACCCACATCAAAGAAATCCATACAAATCATGAACGGCATGATCACCTCATTATCCCGCTTCGTCGCGAGATCCGCTCAGCACGCCATCCCCTTCTTCAAGCTCCTTCGCAAAGAAGCA